TCTTTGCCCAGAACTGCGCAGCACAACAGATAGTTGCATAGATGTTCAGATTCAACTCCATTTCAACTCTAAGTTTCCACACACTTACATGAGATACAAAAAAAAAAAAAAAAAAAAAAAAGAAAAAGAAACTTTCTAAAACCAAAAAGGTCCTCAACTGCAATCACAAAAATGATCTGCCCTGATGCTACATCACACATATCCAGGACTACTGGAAGGGGACACACTACCAAGCGCACGGTTCCCTAAGCTATAGCATAACAGTACTGAAAAAGACCATTTTTAAAATTGCATCCCCCTCTTCCATTAGCCAGAATATTTATTTACAGGTACCAAGCTCATATTATAAGATCTAATTACATTAGAATTTTGCCCCAATTCAACTGGTAAGTAGCCAGTTAGTACCAATGTAAGCCTTTAATTTAGAAAGAGTAAACTAAAGTGAGGTACAATTTGCCTTACCTGAAACGTGTCAGAGATGAAGCGTTGAATAATTTTGCTGGAACTTGTAGGCAGATATATAACAATGACAGGATGCTACATCAAGCTGAACATTATTGAACATTTTTGGAACAGCACAATGCACTTTAAACATCTGGAGGAGACACCTACCCCCCACAACTAACTGTATCTTTCTGTACCACCCTTCTTATAAAGCTGTTCTGTGATTGCAAGATCACTGAGAAAGAATGTGTCTACGAATTGCCCAGTGCAATGGAACCTAAATCTTGGTTCATATCTGCACAGATAAGGGAAAATTTTGTATTTTTTAATAAAAACCGTACATAAATAGACAACCCCACTGAGCTCACTCAGACTGGAAAGATCCATTGCTCCTCTGGGAAGAATCAGATCTGGCAGGCCTGCTCTGAGTGCAACCTGAATGTTTATGGAGATAGTTTGGAGACAGTGGTAGACCAGGACTATGAGGAGGACGGCTTGACCTTGAAACACAGAATCACAGAATGGTTGAGGTTGGAAGGGACCTCTGGAGGTCATCTGGTTGAACTCCCCTGCTCAAGCAGGGTGACCTAGAGACGGTTGCCCAGGAGCGTGTCCAGACACCTTTTGAGTATCTCTAAGGATGGAGGCTCCACCACCTCTTTAGGCAACCTGTGCCAGTGCGCGGTCATCCTCATAGTGAAAAAGCATTTCCTGGTGTTCAGGAGGAACCGCCTGTGCTTTAGTTTGTGCCCACTGCCTCTTGTCCTGTCATGGGGCACCACTGGAAGGAGCCTGGCTCTGTCCTTTTCATACTGCATGTATTTATACCTGTAGTACACAGACAGATGAGATCCTCCTGAGCCTTCTCTTCTCCAGGCTGAACAGGCCCAGTTCTAAACTGAGCTGGGATACCAGTTGTATGATAAGATCTCATCAGCCTACCTCTGTGAGAAAAAATGACATCCTGTATTTTTTTGCCTCAAGAGACATTATGTAAAAAGAGGCGTTTTGTTCTAGTCTAGGGATCTTAAAATACTGTAGTCAACTAAACTATTAAAAACTGTGCAGTTCTAAGCAGTCTGTACTATGTTGCTGTAACATCTTATTACATATTTCTGGACGTATCTCTCCCCAAGGGCTAAACATCTCTCTCGGACTAGCTGAAAGAGCCAGCATGAGAAACGCTGAGGCTGAAGCCAGGACTTGTTCTTGGAGTAGGGGAGCTAGAGAGAGGCCTATTTTCTTGCTTTAAGGGATTGATTTCCTGGGAAACGGTATAAAGGTCAGAAGCACATTATGCTCTATGCGATTGTGAAAAAGCCTCTGGACACTGATGTTACATAAATATTTACAACTACCCATTACTAATCAAACTTGTTTCCAGCCCCTGCTCCTCCCAAAGAACAAAACAGGATAATAAGGAAGAATTGACTTGTGAAGAATAATAGCAGTGAAAGCCTAACCCAAAATCACTAATGGAAACTGCACACTTACCCGAACAGGAAGAGACATTATAAAAACCAAAAAAATCAAGGAGCATCTGTAATTTTCCAATGCAGATTACAGAAGACTGCACGTCAGCTGTGACAAGAATGATAACAGCACCATGCTTTTGTTTTCTTTATTTTACCCTTGAGCAGATAACCTCTCGTATTTTGGTAGAGTAGGCAGATCGGTGATGATATTTTTGTGATGTTGCAAGACTCCACTTTCTTCTCATCCCTCTGGGAACAAATTCATCCATGCCATTTAACCACAGCACAGCTTTAAAAAGAACAGAAAGACTAGAGGCACAGCAGTTTGTGGAGACTCAGACACAATAATATCTATTGTCCATATCAAAAGCTAGCTGAGCAACTGTGAGTAAGAGGATATTCATAAATCACAACATGCTAACTTGGCACCAGAGAACCCAAGGCAGAGGTGGTATTTGACTCACTTATTTAATATTTTTTTAGGTGACCCAGGACACGAGCAGGCAGCTTGCAGCTCTGGAGTTACGTGTGGCTTGCAAACAGTTCAGAGGTGCCTCCTGTAAGAATGCTGTATCAGACAGCGGCAGGACGACGCTGGTGGTGAGCTGCTGGGTAATACAACAGCAGAGATGTGGAAGGAAGTGAATCAGCAAGGATTGCTGGGGCAGATCTTGAGTCACCTTCAGACCCAGCCACACGCTTAGGTTTGAGGCTGAACCCTGACATACAGTGGAAGCACTGAGGAATTCGAAGTAGGACTGTTTTTAGCTTTTTTGGGGACTGCCCCTCGAGTTCCTCTTCTTTTCAGTTCCCAGAAGCATGTACTAGCTGTCATAAGGCACGCAACTCTGTTTGCACTTCAGTGGGACCACGGTGTCCAAACCTCTAAGGCACTTTTGAAAAACCCCATCCACAAACTAGAAATACATGGGAATATGAATTAGATGTGATTAATATAATAGACATTCAAAATGAAAAGAAGAAACTCTTCTCAGACTTTTCATCAAAGAACAGAGCTGGTTGAAATCCCCAGAGCCTGTGACATTTCAAGTTCAAGTTGAAATAGATTTAGCACAGTCATTCCCCCGTTTTGACAGTAGAAATTCCTACTACCTTCTAGGCATCCAAATTTTACGAGACAGTTATCTTTACTAAGTTTTGCACCTGGAATGCAAAGGAGATGCATAAAAGGTTGTGATATTTTTTGTTGTGGAATTGTGATTCACTTAAGTTTTAAAGAAATAGACTTTGGTCATATTCTAGGCCAGCCCATCATGATCATTACTAAACCCTACATTGTGTATCTATCAGTGAAAATAAACAAGACAAAACATAGAAGAAACAGAAAAGTTTATGCTAAAGGCTGTTAAAGAAATTACGCAATGTTCAAAAAATTGAAATGTATTTATTTTGCATCAGTTTCCCAACTATGGCCTGAGATTTCCACTTGTAGAGTTTCCACACCACTACCTCCCATTCTTATCTCTGCCGCCAACTGAAACAGTATTTGAGAGAACATTTATTACTATGGAGTCAGCAAAAGGCCAATGACAAAAGGCTGACAGACTAAATTTCATCCAGCAGACTCCTTTCCTACGTTTTCTCCTGTAATCACTTCCACCACATATCAACATTCAGACTGGCCTACTCTGGAAATAATTTTTTTAAGATACGTGTTCCAGAACTTGTGTTCATGAAGACCATAAACTTTTCATTCATTGCATTTCTGTGAATCCAGGTATGGATATTTCTAATTCCCGAGTTCCATACTCCAACAGACTGTGTTTTCAGTCTTTTCCCAACCATCCACATGGAATCTTGGTCCAATACAGAAGCTGAAGGCTCATCCACATGCTTCGTTCTGGTTTACTGCTATGGTTAAGTTTTCAGAGTTAATGGTCTGGGATGCAAGTAGCACAACAGGAATAAGAACATGAGAAGATTAGACATGAGTATATAAAGGGTGGCAGGAGTTAGACTCTGTTGGGTCTTTATAAATGGCATAATTTATCAAAAGATTTCTGAGAATTTAATGGAATTAAGAAAACCAAAACAGTCCTGTTTCATAATAGACACAAAGGCCAAATAAGCAGGTCTACCATGCCACAGATCAAAAATTAGTTGTGCTTATATAAAAGACGTTAGCTCGAACAGATACAACATTTATTAATGACTTGCGAAGTTCATCAGAATAGCATCTCTTGATCACAGCCGAAGATACTTCAGTCTGTTTCTAGGTTAAAGTAGCCCTTGTTAACATTGGCCACAGGATAATGTTGGAACCACTGGCACTTAAAAGTGCCTCTAGTACTCCTTTTCTGGCTTCCAAGATGTGGCAAAATAAAAATCTATCTTAAATGAACTGCCGCATTTAGCTGATGATATTTGGTCTACATAATATTTTACAAAGGATGATCCTACATAAGTTCTGGAGCAAGGAATAGCCTAACTACCTAGTCTCTTTTTAATATTAGTGGACCTCTGATGTAGAAATTTCTTTTAAAAATTGAATGATCTGTTTCTGTCAGGCACCTCTACAAACTCTGCCTCGTTGCCATCCACATATTAATAATCAGAGCAAAAGCATGTTATCACCTTTGACAAGGACATAGGTGATGGAGCACATTTGCAGTGACTGCCAGATGGCTTTAAGCGGTGCTTTTCATTAAGTCTTTTAGCAACACGCAACATTTCCTGCATTAAATGGCACTTACTTTTCTAGTTGTGGTATTTGCAAAATGCCATACATACAATTAGAAGCTACAAGAATTTTGCATGGAAAGAAAAGGACAACAGCTAGTGTTGCATACGGATGTCAAAGTTTACCTCATATATTGAGGTGGGAGGGTAGGTAATACCTCTGTAAAGCTACTTTTGGCTAAGAATTCTGTTGGTAATTTCTGGTGGTGCTGCAAATGAAACATTTTTGTTGTCATTGCTCAATTCAGAATAGAAGCATTTTGAGCTCAATAAGCAAGCTTTCACGCCATGTGAATGTCAGGGCAGCTCCATTCCTGCATTTCTAAGTGGTGCATCTCTAGTGCACTAAAACGTAAGAGACACCAAGGGTATGTCTCTTCCCTAGAGTGCTTCTGTAGGAGGTGTGTAGGTGTGAGATTCATCCTTTCCTTTTGTTTTTGTGTCTTTGTCATTGCAGATCTCCACATCATGAAGTCCCGTCATGTTATTTTTGTTGCCATCCATTAAGTCTTCTGCCATCTCTGTGCCGCTCTTGTTGCACTGACAGAAGTCACTGGAACTTTCTAGAAAGTTGATGCAAAATTTGATAACCAGTGCTAGCCAGGCCATCCCAAAGAGGATCCACAGAGAGATTACGTTCTTGTACCAGCCTGGATAGGTGCGGTCTGGGTTCATCCCTACAAGAGAATCACCAAAAACATTTCTAGATTGGATCAAGAGCACCTCAAAGGAGACATTACATGTAAAGCAAAGACAGTGGAAATATGACCTAACATTGGTGACTTCTAGACAAAAGATAAGCATGCCATCTACTTAGCATGTGAACAGATGTTATAAGCAAGTATGTTTCATGACATGTCAGCAACAGCCTAGAACTCCCTAGGAATTGTAAAGGTTACTGATAAGAAAGAAAAATAAATCCCAAATTACACCTATGTCAAAGTGAAATTACTCACATTTAAGTGCACGGTTTCATTTCTCTAGTTATCAGTCAGCATAATAATATTGTATTAGTGTTTAACAGGGGTCCCCTGCAGGCAGAGAGGTAAGTGGGTTTTATGTACCACTGTATGTATCTTGTTAAGCCAGATATAAGTGAGCAAGTGAGTCTCTAAGGGCAGGAGGAAAAGGGCCTGAGCAGTCCTAAAACCTCTAAGAACAACAAAGCCTTTGAAGACAGCCTGAAATTGTGCTGTATCTGTCTGGTTGCTCAGCTCGGAACTTTGTGATCCCTTTGGAGTAAAGCCATATTTTTTTCGTTGTGTTTCCACAACGTTTCGTGCAAAGAGGCTTCTACGAGCTAAGTTAGTGTCAGTAGTAATAATAATACAGGCAAAGCAAAGGAATGAGCTCAGCCCTGTGAAGTGACTGGGCTATATCTGTAAAGCAGGCTGAGGTATTGATACACACACCCCCCAAACACAGGTATACAAAGTACAAGATACAAATCGGTGGCAGCAAAGTCTTTGCATGGGCTTCTTCTCTACTGCTTCTCAGATCTCATTATTTAGTTTCCTTACTTTAGGAAGATTTATCACTTTAAAACTGAATATCTAGAATGCAGCAGATACTACAGAACACCTGATACTTTCAGGACAGAGTGTGAAGAGTTAACACGTATGAGATGGTACCTCCATGAACCTGGAGGCCACTCTCCATACCACGTTCCAATAAAAAGTACACACAGGGCTGGGTTGAAATGGGACATCCACAGAGGCAGGTGTTTAGGTATTTATCATCTGTGACTCTTTGTATGTAGGAATACTGTCCTGTGATTACCTGCACAGACCAGCAGCTCCCCAGTCGTGGTCCATGAACTGTTCCTGTCCACAAGATTGTGATAAGTAGTAACTGGTCAGCGGAGACATATTAAGCAGCCAATCCTTTACATCCATTTACTTGGTGTTATTATATAATACACATTGTATGTGTTTTCAGTACAATGGGACCACAAGACATTTTGAGGTTGTCACTAAGCCACTGATTACCAACCACTTCTGTAGTAACTACTCTTTGGGCTAGCTTTCTACATCAAGGTGAACTTCAACCAGAAGGAGTATTAGATTCAACCTTCAAACAAGCACCTTTCACTGATGCTAAATAAAAATTGTTTGCTTCTAAATAATAAATGAAAACAAAAGGGAAGGGCTATTTGAGGCTTCCAGGGAGAATGCTTTATCCATAAAGACCACTTGATAGGCAAAGTCTTGCAGATCAGATGGATTTTAGGCCCTACATGACACCCTGTGTCCAATAAAAGGGCTTAATAAGCGTGTAAATTAACAGATTTCAGGGCCAGTAAGAGAAGCTACATCAATATTAGTAAATCAAACAGGCTAGGGACCACTCTATGACTTCAAATCTAAGTGTCATAGCCTGGCCCCCAAAACTGAGCAGCTGTGTCCAAAGCGAACACTGGGCATCACTTCTGGCATGCGATATCCCCCAGAATTTACCTGGTCCAGAACAGTGCCAGAGATCACGCTAGTCAGCGAACAGCCTGACAGTCACAAAATAGTGACAGCCACTTGAACCCGTGCCCTGGCCCTGCGTATTTTTAAGTCGAGACATAAAACACAAACACAGGACTGTAAAGCCAAATGGCTTGGCCTCTACATACCACAGGTCACTGATGTATTAAGTTATTCCCATACTGAACCTAGCGTATCTATGGCGGTATGCCAGTTACAAAGGTACCACACAGGTGAAGGTAGGCCTGGAGGTGAGAGTTATACTAAAGAGGAGCTTCAAAATCAGTTATCAGGAACGGAGAGTAGAGCTGCTGTAGCACAGAGTTTAGCATCATCTATAAAATCAGCATAGGAAAATACCGAACTCACTAGCTTTTGTTAAGCTCCATGTGGCTACCCTTACCCAAGCTAACTCAATGCCAGCTCATTTAAGTGTGCCTATACAAGCTCTAGTCATAACTTTGATGCACTATAGACAAGTTCTAAGGTAACCACCACTAAGCTGTCTAAGCATCAAGCAAGCACTATGAAGAAAAGAAAATAATGAATGTGCAATAAGGTCTTTTAGCGTTCCTGTCTCCCAGGAATTCAAGAGTGCGTGCATGTGTTTCTGTAATCAATTTGTTTTTAATGAGAAAGTCTTTATCAAAAAGGTGTGTCCTGTGTTTCAGCAAATGCATTGGGCGTGGGTCCAAACCCATTTCCTCTGGCAAAGGGTTTTGGCAACCAAAACTGGGTTGTGCCTGGTGCCTGACAGTCTACACCTAAGTGACTTAAGCTGCCTTTTAGAAAGCAGTTGTCTGGGGTTTTTTCAGAAGAAATGGTCACTGTCTGTTAATGGTGATGCAGGGTAGCATCTGCTTAAAAGTAATCTCTGCCGACACACTGAAGGGCACCAAGTGCACCATCAGTGACTGCTGTGATTAAAAACGTAGCGCTCCAGTCTGGTGTTGTAGTCATTCAAGGGACAGGTCACCTGAATGTTGGAAGATTACTCATTGACCGGGAAATGATTTCTTTGTTCTTCTACAGGTGGCATTGCTATCTCAGAAATCATGTCTTCTCCAACCTGTCAACTGCCTATCACAACATATTTATCATGGATTTCTCGTGGTGTAAAACCGCAAAGTTGGGAGCTTCGTATGCCACACATTTGGCTTTGATATTCAGTAGGGGAAAGCAATGAAATGTGAACTACTCACCAATCACATAATCTCCAAATCCTATAGTGGTGAGAGTAATGAAGGAGTAGTAGAAACCTTCTTCATAAGACCAGCCTTCTTTGTCAGAGAACAACAAGGGAGGTAGCAGGAGGAACAATAACAAGCCAGTTACCAGTGCAGAGGTCTTAATCAGGAGGGAAGCTTTTTTCTAGTAAAAGAGATAAAATAAAGAAGATACTGTCACAGGAACGGTGGCAGGGAAAGTCCAGCTCAGTTTCTAGTTGAAGATGATGCTGGACTCCACAAAAACACACAAACATTTACGATGTTCCACTAGAATAAACAGTGTGGCTCTCCCACTCAAGACAAACTGGGCATCACATTAATGAGTCATAAATTCATGCCAATTTAAAGTCTATTCCACAAGTGTTCCCATGTAACTTACACATGCAATTCTAACTACTACTGATTATAAACAGACCAGATATTCTAGGACTGTGCATGACTCTAAGGCTCTGGCACTTCTATTGCTGTAGGGGAAGCCATTCATCACAGAAGTTCCCTCAATTAATAAACAACCTTATCTGACAACTCATAGGGCTGTCATAAACTAAATTTATTTGCTTCCAGTTATTCCTGAGTATTACTGCCTTTTTGGTCAAATAGGTATGCAAGCTGTCCTTGTTAGTCAGCGGATCCCAAATACCAGACAATGCCCTTTCTGCCTTTTCTTTCCTGAACTTGAGGCTGAGGCATACCTGTCCACATCGCTTACCTGCCAGTGAAACACCTCCTCTAGGTGATGGGCACAATGCTGAACCCCCAACAGCATCAGCTGCCCAATTTCGTTCAGAAGTACAAGGTTCAAGGGGATCCCAAAGAGTGCAAACAAGATGCAGAAGATTCGACCAGCCACAGTGCTGGGGCTCAGGTTCCCATAGCCTAGGCAGGAAAGGAATGAGGTGTTAAATCTAAAATATTCTCTGCTTGCCCTCCTCTCCTGGAGGGGTGAACCTCCATCTTTTACAGAAGTCAGATGAGAAGGTCACTTCTCCAAAAGGACCTTTTTTATAAATAACTGTAAGTTACATCCATTGTTTGTCATATCCTATTGTAGGCTGGAAAATAACATTTCTTCCCCTGCCAATTTTGTTTAGTTCCTTTTCCATTTACCAGTGAATTTCCTCTCCCCTACCCACTGTCCTGGCTGGGATCTGACGTAAATGCAAAACTTCCGTTTAGTTCAGTTTTTGTAAGCATTGTTGGCATGGAGTTTGCTGGTGTCGTGGTTTAGCCCCAGCCG